AACACCAGAAAGGATAAAAGTTGCTGGCCTGTTGGAAGACTTGGGCGGAGGTTAAAAGAAGGGTGGCCCACGCAGCTGAACAAGACTGGGACTTGCTTTTAGTTTTTTGAAGAATCTCGATTCTGTTCATAATAGCTGCACTAATTTATATTCCCATTAGGCAGTGTGCATGGGTTCCCAGTTCACATTCTTGCCAACTCTTCTTACAGCCTCTCTTATGATAGCCATCTTAACAGGTGTGGGGTGATGTCATGGTGGTTTTGATTTGCATATCTCTGATGATCAGTGATGTTGAGCACCTTTTCAAATTCCTGTTGGCTATTTGTATGTCTTTGCAGAAATGTCTAATTCAGGTCCTTTGCCCATTTTTTATTCAGGCAGTTTTGAGTTTTGCTATAAAGCTGTGAGAGTTTCATACTTTTTAAAATTGTTGTGATGGGTATGGGTACATTGTAGCATTGACAAGGTACTTACAATGTATCAAATATTTTGGATATTAACCTCTGATCAGATAGATGTATGGCTTGCAAATATTTTCTCTCATTCCATAGTCTGTTATTAATTTTGTTGATCTAGTCATCTTACTTGTGGGTATAATAATTACATTAATAATTTAATATTTAATTTAATAATTTCATTAAATCATTTTAAAGAGACGTCTGTACTCCCATGTTCATTACAGCAATAGTCACAATACTAGAAATATGGAAACTGCTTAAATATTCAACTATGAATGAATGGATACAGAAAAAGTGGGACATATATATGTATATTATCCTATAACAATGAATATTATTCTGTCTTTAAAAAAAAGGATATTTTGTTATTTGTCAACAAACTGTATGAGCCTGAAAGACAAAGATGAATGGGACAAGAAACAGCTATACTACAATATGCAATACTGGTTCTTCTTTACAAAGATACAAAAGCAATTCAGCAGAGGAGGAATACCCTTTCCACAAGTGGTTTTAGAGCTACTGGATATCCACAAAGGGAAAAAATGGACCTCAGCCTTATACAAAAAAGTAAGTCAAAATGAACCTCAGACTTTCATAGAAAGCACAAAACTGAAAAACTTGTACAAAAACATACAGATGAAAATCTTCAGAATACAAGGCTACAAGAAGACTTCTCAGACTTGACACCTAATGTGTGGTCCATAAGAGAAAGTGTTGATCCTTTTGACCTCGGCAAAATGAAACACTTTCACTATGCAAGAAAGCCCAGGTGAAGAGAGAGAGAGAGATGAAAAAAAAGATTTCCTGAAGACTGGGAGAAGATATTTGTAAACCATACAAAATATTCATGACAACAAAATACACCAGAGGTACTAAATATTCAGGATATAAGTATACACGAGGAACTAAATATCTGTGATCATTAAGTATACCAGAGGCTTTAAATATTTACTATCACTAAGTATACAAGAGGCACTGATTATTAAAGATCATTAAATATTCGAGAGGCACTAATATTCAGGTATACTCAGCAGCCATGACACACCTGAGGCATTCATAGCCACAAGATCTTAAAAACATCACTGGCCAGGACACCCATATCAGTCCACCTGTCCCTTTGGCATGGCCAAGAAAGCTTGTCCCTGTATCACCATACCAGTATTCCACTGGCCCAGGTTGCCCTTGATCACCCCTGGACTCTGGTCCCAGGGACACCTGTACATTTAGAATGGCACAGACCATCAGAGCACCTATCCGGTTGTGCTCTAATAAGATGAATGAATTATGGGGCAGGATACTGGTAAATGATAGACTCATAGCTCTCATATTTTCAAGACTGGCATATTCTGGCTGGTGGAACTTTACCTATGTGGTTCCAAAGCCCTTGAAAGCTGATCACCTCAGGTCACATCAAGGAAACCCTCCAGACTTCCCATTATTCTAAGGAAAAGCCTCAATCTTTTCCTTTTGTTATTATTTTTTTATCCATGCATAGTTTTCCCCAGCATCATCAAGATATTATTGGCTAATAAAACTCATATAAATACTCAAGGTATACAGAGATGGGCTGAGGGTGGGCATAAGTGGAGGCCATGAGGGATGTGGCTTTGGAGAATTTGCTGGGCCAGGGACACTGCTGCTTGGTGGCTGTAGTCTGGAGCCTGATAAGCAACATGCTGAAAACAAGAGACTTTTTAGGGGCGGCTGGAGGCTGTATCTACGGATAACAGTTGAGGCCACTATGGCATGAGAAGATGCTCAGATGGGGGTGAGAAGAAGCTTAGTACCAGACCTTTTTTTTTTTTTTTTTAATTGGCATCAGCTAAAGCAATGCTATAATTCAGTCTAATAAGATACACAGCTGAGTGCTGGTGCTCATGCCGGTAATCCTAGCTACTCTAGAAGCAGACATCAGGAGAATGACTGATCAAGCCAGCTCTGGCAAACAGATGGGAAGACCCTAGCTCAAAAATTCCTAACACACACACACACACACACACACACACACACACACACACACACACACACACACACACAAAGTTGGGGCTGGCAGAGTGACCTCACGTGGTAGAGGCCTGCATAGCAAGCATGAGGTCCTGAGTTCAAACCGCAGTCCAGCCAAAAAAAACCCCAAAAAACAAAAAAAGAACCAGAAATTGGGAGGAGGCAGATGGTCAATCTTTAAAATTTATTTGGGAGATTTTTTTTTTAAATATCTACCTTACCTCTGCACCCCCAAAGCCGCTAATCTATTCTCAGCTTCTGTGAATTTGACCCTTTTAGAGAGTCAATTCTGTGAATTTTGACTCCACACCTGGAGTGGGTATAAAAACAGGTCATGTGGTACTTCTTTCTGTGCTAGGTTTATTCCACTTAGCATAATGCCCTCCAAGTCATTCATATTGTCAGCAAATGACAGGATTCCTTCCCTTTTATGGCTGAATAGTATCCATTGGGTAGCTTTGTACCTGTACAGAGCTTTTTTTTTTCTTGTCATGATTTCCTAAACAATACAGGACAACTATTTACATAGCATTTACTCATCATTGAAATGACGTTGAAGTGTACAGAAGACATCTGTAGGCTCTACACAAATACTATGCCATTTTATATAAGGGATGAATTACCCCTGGCCCATCCACTATGAGCTGCTATGCCACCCAGAGTGAGCTGTGGTACAAAGGGAAGTGCCAGTTCCATTGCCTACCTGAGGTAGGCCAGCAGTGTCCTAGAAAATACTGGAATAGTCTGTTGTCATTCTAGAAACCTGGTCTAGCCCTTCTCTCTGCCCATGCTTCCTTAGTCTCTGATTTTTCATTTTCTCCCTGTTCTCTTAATTTGGTCCACATTCATTCACCAGGGTTCAAATATTTTTTTAAATTGAGGTGAAATTCACATAACTCATGGTAAACCATTTTAAAGCAAACAATTCAGGGGCATTTAGCAGATTCACAGTGCTGTGCAACCTGTCTAGTTCCACAACAGAAAAATCCTGTAGCTGGTACTCTCTCCCCACTTCCAGTGCCCGACAACTAATCTGCTTTCTGCCTGAATTTGCAGGTTCTGGCCATTTCATATAAATGTATAATATTTATTTTTTGTGTGTCTGGCTTACTTTGCTAGATGTAAAGTTTTTGCGGTTCACCTGTGTTTTAGCATGAATCAGGGCTTCATTCCTTTTTAATGACTAATATACCATGTGCGGACAGACTACAATGTGTGGATCCAATCATCAGTTCATGGGTATTTGGGCTGTCACTACCTTTTGGATATGAGTAATGCTGCTGTGAACATTCATGTACACATTTTAGTTGGATGTATATTTTTATTCTCTTAGGCAAATACCTAGGAGTGGAATTGCTAGGCTATGTGGTGCTTTCTCTTATGCTTGCGTGCAATGAGCATTCTCCCATAGAGGTGGTCAGCTTTTGGTACTTTCCCACATTTCTGAAACTGATAACTCGGTAGATGACCAGGCCTTCCTTAAACCAGAGTTGTCTAACTGGAACTTTCTGTGATAGGAACATTCTGTATCTAATATGGCAACTACTAGTCACCTATGGCTAGGGCAATAGAAAAACTACATTTTTGTAATAAATCTTAGCTAAATGAGACCTAATATCCCTGTAGCTTATAGCTGTGTATTGGAGAGCATAGCCTTAGAACATAGAAAAGCCACCCTGAGTAGATCTCCATACTACCTCTCTCACCACCCCATCCAATTAATTTCTCTTTAAATGCTGAAATCCATAGTGATACTTGAAGCATCAACACCTCAGCCCCTGAAAAAAGTTTCTTAAATGCCTGTGAAGGGTTTGAAGCAATAGTGACCTATGCAGAGCTATCAGTACATACATTTAAGCTCGAATGGAAGGCTCTCACTACTGAATGGTGCCCTTATTCATTGCATGATCTATATGCACATTTTAAAAATACTGTGTGGTTGGGAACTTGCACTGTTAAAGCAGCTGCCTGTCAGTTTTTGATGTGAATAGTTTTTTGATATTGGGGTATTTTCTAAAGTATATTTGTGGTTAGTTCCAGATGGTCTCCAGGAAACTTTCTTTTGAGTGGGCCCAATTTTAAAATAAATACATATCATATGTGAAATTGTATAATGTATAATACTTCCAAATTATCTTGATCTGTATTTGTTATAAAAATTAATGAAAGCAGTACATATAATAACAGGAAAAGAGGGTATGTATATGAACTGATTTTGTGGCAAGCACTATTTAAAGGAATTATCATGGACAACTCATTTACACCCCTCCTCACTGCATCTCCCCCATGAGTACGTGCTACTAACATGGCCATTTCTGTTGATTTTGCCTGAGCTCTCCAATACTCCTTTATAACAATGTGGAGGCAGTCATCTCCCTAAAAACTCACGTATACATTACCTAATCTGGTTCTAACAATTTAAGTTTGTTGTTTCTTAATGAAACTTTATTAAAACGAGTGTATAATTTAAAATTTCTAGACATCCAAATATGGTTTTATCAAAGTCAGTGTACAAATTTTGCCCTCCGAGGTAAGCAGTTTCAGCGAATTGTTTGACCAACTCAAAATTTTGAAACTAAACTTTTTCAAGTAGTGACCCCATTCACAATTAACTCTCCTTAAAACGTTCATACATTAAGACCTAACAATGTTGCTCAAGTGTTGAAAACAGTTCTAGCTAACAAAATGTCCCCAAATCTTTAGAAATTCCAACCCAATAAGTTATTCTGAAGCGGACGTCGTTTTGGTAAAGCTTAGCTGTTTCAACTAGCACAAGCACTCACATTTCAGCAAAAAGTCAGTATGTACCTATCAGAACCACATTGCAAATTTGGGATTACACCAGATGAACCAACCCATTTGTTTTAAGACGCATTCCTAACTTCACGTCTACCTGGTCTTCCTGGAGTCCCAGCTGAGACTAGTAGTCAAGAGAATGCGCTTAATTGGGGGTGGAAACAAAAACCCCGTGGTAGGTTTGGAGTGGGATTTAAAAGCGGGAGGCCGCTGACCTGTCGCCTCTTCCTCGCCCCAGAGGAAAGCCCATCCCCACCGCTGGTGCGCACACGAAAGCGCAGCGGGACCTGGCCCTCAGCCAATAGCAGGATGCCGGCACAGTGTGGCTCTTTTACCCGATACAGTGGGTGGCTCTGAAAAGAGCCTTTGGTATCCGTCAAAGGGCCCGTGGGGAGTGACAAGGCCTCACTTGCCCTTGGCTTTGTGATGGCTCTCCGTCTTCTTGGGCAGCAACACCGCTTGGATGTTGGGCAGGACACCGCCCTGGGCGATGGTCACACGGCCCAGCAGCTTGTTGAGCTCCTCGTCGTTGCGGATGGCCAGCTGCAGGTGGCGTGGAATGATCCGCGTCTTCTTGTTATCCCGCGCCGCATTGCCTGCCAGCTCCAAGATCTCAGCAGTCAGGTACTCCAGCACCGCCGCCAGGTAAACAGGCGCACCAGCGCCCACGCGCTCGGAGTAGTTGCCCTTGCGAAGCAGCCGATGTACGCGGCCCACGGGAAACTGAAGCCCCGCGCGGGAGGAGCGCGACTTGGCCTTTGCGCGAGCTTTGCCTCCCTGCTTACCACGACCAGACATCTTCAAATCACAGGCACACAAGTTAAAAAACTAATAATATCAACGCTGAAGCTAGCAAAGAACAGAGCCCAGGCGAGCCCTTATATATGATCTGGAGGTAGGCTAGCCGGTGCCATCCGATTGGATGTTATGGAGAGCCAATCAGAACCGAAGTCTGACATCTCTTAATTTGCTTATGCCTAATTTATGTATCACGTAAGGCGACATTTTATCCAATAATAGGCGAGCATGCTTGATCCTTCATTTGAATACAGGACTTTCAAATACTGCTGATGTAGCCTCAGTACCTCTGTTTTGGAAGGTCTGCCAGAATGCCTGATCCGTCCAAATCCGCTCCGGCCCCGAAGAAGGGGTCCAAGAAGGCTGTCACCAAGGCGCAGAAGAAGGACGGCAAGAAGCGCAAGCGCGGCCGCAAGGAGAGCTATTCCATCTACGTGTACAAGGTGCTGAAGCAAGTCCACCCCGACACCGGCATTTCGTCCAAGGCCATGGGCATCATGAACTCCTTCGTAAACGACATCTTCGAGCGCATCGCCAGCGAGGCCTCCCGCCTGGCGCACTACAACAAGCGTTCCACCATTACCTCCCGTGAGGTGCAGACAGCCGTGCGCCTGCTGCTGCCGGGGGAGCTGGCCAAACACGCCGTGTCCGAGGGCACGAAGGCCGTCACCAAGTACACCAGTTCCAAATGAGGCGTGTCCCGGCGCCTCAACCCAAAGGCTCTTTTAAGAGCCACTCATACACTCGATAAAGGGTTTTGGACACGGCGAGGGGTTATTCTTGTATAGCCATGCGCCCTAGTGGTTCCCTAAACTGGGTGCGGCATGCTTTGAGTCGTTAAGTGTATATGGATGTCGGGGGAAGGCTCTTGCTCATTGTAGAGATGGGGGCGGAAAAAGTGCTGGGCGTAAAAATGCAAGTGAGGGGTGCGAGTTATTGCCTGTCTCTCTTCCACCGCTCTTCCCCCCCATCCCCCACTTAGTGCGCTTGAGCATGACGGTGCAGTGGGTATCGTCCCCCTGCTCTGGCGGTGGCTCCTGGCTCTGCGTTTCCTTATCTCTGCATACCTGCTTGGGTCAGACAGACTTAAGCAGTGTACATCCCGAAAGGATGTTTGCCCAGCAGATTCTGCAATGGCAGCATGCTTGAAGCCGAAGAGAAAATGGAAGCGCAGAGACATTTGCAGCCCCCAGTGCACGAGAGCTGGATGTAGTAAGTGACCTCAGCTGTCGGCAGCTTTAATCCTTAGGGGGTGGGGAGAGTTTAAAAGGGAAAAAATACTTTGAGAAAAAAAATAGTTGCCCTAGGCCACATTATTTTTCTGTGAATTATTAGTAATGTGAAGTTCCCCTTTTCTTCACGTTCATGGAATATATTTGGAGATTGCCATTTTGCTTTGGTATGAGGTCTTCACTCTAGAAAGGTCGCCGTTTTACCCTTTTCTTGGCTTGGCTTTTACTGGTAAAAGGAAGGGAATTTTAATAATTTGAGCTGTTGTGGAAAGTATTTTTTCGTGTCATTTTCCTCAGCAATGAATAAAACAATTCAATAAAATTTTTTCTTTCAAATTGTTTATCCAAGGGAGCCTGTCGTGTGTCAGCTGGTGCAGCCGTGCGAGGCTAGGGAGGTCACGTCACCGCGCAGATGCCCTCCTGGCAATGGCTGTACTAACTCCTTCTTCTCTACATGGGTCCCCATAAAAGAATTTTTGAAAAATTCACGTTTTAATGTTGGTATCTAAAGTACTTTTAGCCTAGGTTCATATAGTTGCAAGAATGCACATTCCAACATAGGACATTTTAAAAAAATCATCACAGTTTTTTAAATACCTGTAGGAATGTCAATTTGATACCATAATCAGTTCTACACAAAAAATTCTTGGAATCAGATATTTCAGATTACTTTCTCTTTAAACTCACTTTTTCATTTTCCTCTGGCTTAAATTTAATTCTATAGAAAAGTTATATGCATGTATGTTGTGTTTTCATTGATTACTTGGGGCAATTGTCAGTTGAGATTTAAATGTACTATGCAAGTCTCTTTTTAAAAAGTCATCAGGCTGGGGATACAGTTCAATGGCAGTATTTGCCTAGCATGCACAAGGCCCAAGATTCTATGCTGCACTACAAAAACCGAACATAACAACACCAGCACTCTAGCTGGAGGTGTGGCTCAAGCCTTAGAGCACTCATCTAGCAAGCCCAAAGCCTTGAGTTCAAACCCCAATACCGCCCCCCAGCACACAATTGTTCAAAACATAAATAAAATTTGATAGATTATTATAAAAAGTTAGTAGAACTGACTTAATGAGATGGGTGGAGGGTGATGCTGGGATTGAACCCAAGCCCCCAGCATGTTAGCCAAGGGCTCTGCTACTAAACTCTATCCTCAACCCCTTCTTCCTTTCTGTCTTATTTCATGCTAACAGTGTACAGTATCCCTTCCATTTGCTTTTGATATCTTTTAAAAAATGTCAATACATACATAGGAATAGGAATTTTTTATGGCTCTTTTACTCAATCCTTTGCCTTCCTAGTAATGATCCAAAAGTTAAAGTGATCCATCATAAAGTGATTGATCATTGAAAGCAAGTGGGACCTGTCAACAGTCTTAATGCTGTCAATAACCAGGATTTGCATTCAAACTATTAAATCCAGTCCTCTCCACTGTGTAGCAGGTGCCAGACATCTCAACCCTTGATCTCATAATGCTGTGCCAGGCAAGTGCTTTATACTGAATTACATCCTCATCCCTTGGAGTCAAGTTTTAAGATCCCCCTCCCATTTCTTCTTCTTCTTTTTTTTTTTGGCAGTATTGAGGTTTGAACTCAGGGCCTCATGCTTTCTAGGCAGGCTCTCTACTACTTGAGCCACTCCACCAGTCCTTTTTTTTGTGTTGAGTATATTTGAGATAGGGTCTCTCCAACTATTTTGCTCAGGGTGGCATTGAACCATGGCCCTCCTAATCTCTGCCTCCCAGGTAGATAGGATTACAGGTGTCAGCCACTGGTGCCTGGCTTCCTCCTGCATTACTTTTTTTTTTTTTTTTTGCAGTACTGGTGTTTGAACTCAGGGCCTACATTTCGAGCCATTCCACCCTCCCTTTTTTGTGATAGGTTTTTTCAAGCTAGGTCTCTGGAACTGTTTGCCTGGACTGGCTTCAGATCGAGATCCTCCAGATCTTTGGCTCCTGAGTAGCTAGAGTTACAGGTGTGTGCCACTTGTGCCCAGCCCTCCTACATTTCTTATTTTCAACATTTAAAATATTCACAAGTGAACTGGCTGGGTGGCTCCTGCTGCAATTCTACCTACTTGGGAGGCTAAAACTAGGACAATCCAAGTTCGTGGCCAGTCTGAGCAAAAGTAGTTCAAGAGACTCCCATCTCCAAAATAACCACAGCAAAATGTATTGGAGGTGTTGCTCAAGAGGTAGAGTGCTGGCTTTGCACTTGTCTGTGGAATTACATACTATGACAGTGCATGTTTACACAGAGTTTATCTGGAAAAACACCCCCCTAAAAAAATTTTTGAGTGTTTCACTGTATTTCTATAAAAAGTGAACCGCAAAGAATTTCAGGAGAGACTTAAAATATTATCAGACTTTAAAATTTTTAAATTTTTAAAAATTGTTTTATTATTCATATGTGCATACAAGGCTTGGGTCATTTCTCCCCCATGCCCCCACCCCCTCCCTTACCACCCACTCCACCCCCTCCCTCTCCCCTCCACCCCCTCAATACCCAGCAGAAACTATTTTGCCCTTATCTCTAATTTTGTTGAAGAGAGAATATAAGCAATAATAGGAAGGAACAAGTGTTTTTGCTGGTTGAGATAAGGATAGCTATACAGGGAGTTGACTCACATTAATTTCCTGTGCGTGTGTGTTACCTTCTAGGTTAATTCTTTTTAATATAACCTTTTCTGTAGTTCCTGGTAGGAACACTTAAATTCAATTCTTTTCTTTTTTCCCCTGAGTAGTTAAGCCAGGGTATACTTTCATCCATTTTCCCCCTAAGTCTTTGTCTTTTTTTATTTGGACTGGCAGCCCTTAATGGCAGTAAATATTTGAGATTTGCTACCACAAATAATTTGTCAACAATATTTTTACATGTGTTTAAACCTTTCTTTTTACTATTCTTCTAGAATTGTGTCCTATGGATATGATCAAAATGTGTGTATATCATTTACTTTCAAGAAAACTCTTCTCAGGCCACCTTTCTTAATTGCAAAAACAATTTCCTTTATGAACATTCTTTTCCTAAGGCACAACAGGCACTATTTATTGCTGTAAAACCCTTTGAAATTTGTGCCTCAATCTGCATTATCATCACCATGATTAAAATGAGAACCACTTAAAAGTGACAACTAAAACTTATCAACATCAAGTCTAGAATGCTGTTATCCAGTAGTTTGACTGCAAAATAACCAACTTCCCCGAAACAAAGGCCAAAACCTCTAAAAATGCACTCTTTCCCCTTAAAACTGACCACATTACCTTATGGCAGTAAAGCTCAGTGACATCTCTTGCTACACATACTCCATATCAATGTTATAAATCAAATGTAGGCCAGGAAGCTTTGCCAATTTTGATTAAACCCTAGTCTAACTTAACAATATATGATTTTACAGACATCCTCCCATGGGGAACATGCTTACTAAGTGAAAGGTAATCAGACATCTAAGTCATTATTTTCTATAGACTATGGGTAATGACAATCACTTGCTCAGGGTTTCCAAACAAGCCATTACCAAACATTATCTGCTAATATTAACATTATATATAGCAATTGTAGCTCTCATATAATATTTTAATTATATTAAGGAGATAACATTTTTGACAGTATTACTAACTTTCCAAATCACCATAATATTCAAGGAAAAGAGTAAAGAATGAAGTGAAAATTGAACAGGAAGAGATTGCCATTAAAGAAAAATGAAGTAAAGTGAAAAAAGGAAATGAAATACTGGGGTGGAAAAGTCAAATTTATAGACATTTAGTTGGAAGAGATCAAGTATGTACACAAATCAAAAGTGCATAAACTCAATGCAATACAAAAATCTTTTTTAATATAAAAGCTGACTTCAGACTAGTAGGTCTATAATATTTTTGGCCTTAAACAGTCTTTCAATCAAAAAAGGCCACAATAAAGGCTGGGAGCATTGCTAAAGTGGTAGACCTCTTGCCTCAAAAGGCCCTGAGTTCAAACCCCAATGCCACAGAAAAAAGGCCACAATAGTTAAGATTGTAATTATTTTATTTTCCATTATGTGGGAGATACAAGCAATCCTTAATAAAGTTGACAATTAGATTCACTCACAACGTTTTTAATAATGCACATTTAATTTTTTTGGCAGCACTGGGATTTGAATTCAGGGCCTCATGCTTGCTAGGCAGGTGCTCTTACCACTTGAGCCACTCCACCAACCCATTTTTGTGATGGCCTTTTTTTTTTTTGGATAGGGTCTTGAGAGCTATATGCCCAGGGCTGGTTTTAAACCGCCATCCTCCTGATCTCTGCCTCCTGAGTAGCTAGGATTACAGATCTGAGCCACTGGTGCCCTGCAATAATGCATATTAAAAAAAAAGTATTCATCTTGCAAATTGTTCTACAATCCAATGCTACAATAGCATAGAAAATAATGTTTACAAAACAAATGCAATGTGAATAGAGAGATTAAAAGAACCAGAACAGTACAGTGGTTTTCTTTTTGCATCATCAGTGACAAAAATGTGTTTCTTCAGCTGGTTCCACAGCTCCAGATTTTTCTTCCTGATTTCATTTCACCTTTTGGATCTATCCCGTATTCTCTAACATCAATTAGAACTTTCCCTTTAAAGTTTCCAACACTGACACACCTTACTTTCCCAATCTGAATCATACTACCATTTTTGCTGCCATTGCCCTGCTTGGAAGATGCCAGAGCTCTAAAGTTGCACCAGTCTTTTGCTTCTCTACAGGTTTTTCTAGGGCAACTTGCTTTTTCCTCTTTAAAGCTTTTTGTCAGCTTCGCTGTCACATTCACTGCCAGGAAATCTTGAAGAAACAAGTTCCTTTGAGCTAGGCATTGCTCCACTCCTACAGTGGAACGTCTCCTTCTCTGCTATTGAGACTTTCATAATCAAGAAAACTGAGAGCAATTTTATACAACATCCATGTTTCCAATTACATTGCTACCACAGGAAAAAAAGCGTTCAGGTTAAGCTGTAAATTAAGTGAAGGCATTGCATATCGAACATGTGAAAATCCATAGCGGCTAACAGATTTAGGACTTAACACAATGGAAGCATTCTCTGGGTCTGAAAAAAAAAAAAAAAGCTAATGCATAAAGTAAAGTTCTAGAAAATAGAAAACAAAAACGAGACAAAACCACGAAGGGATTTTGGGGGTTTACAATCCTAAATGCACTGAAGAGACTGCCCTTCCCCCATCTCAGCTGGAACTTCCAAGTCAAATTTGCTGTTAGGGAATAAACCAGAGAATTTGAAGGAAGCGAATTTACTGTATGAGACAATAGGAGGTTAGATGTTAACAAATGGGTGGCTGTCACTGGAGGGGTGTGAGGAGTAAGACAGACTTTGGTCACCAGTGGAAACCAAGCAGCAAATTCAAATCCGAGGCAAAGAGGAGCTCGTGGAGGGAGGGTGGCTCCCAGGTATTCTTGAGTGAGGAGACCAGAATCGGTGTTTAGGAGGACTATATCCTGGGCCTTATGCCTTCTTGTCCGTTGCTAACGTGTAACCAATCGAACACATTTACTTTGCATATGCATTTTTTAAGGTAACTAATTTGTTTTATTAAAAAAGGATATTTCTTTGGTGGAGTGGCTCAGGTGATTAGGGCGCCTGCCTAGAAAGAATGAGGCTGTGAGTTTAAACCCCATTACTCAAAAAGGTAAAAAGAAAAAATATTTTTCACCGTTTATTAGGCTTACGTTGATATACACACATGCTTATTATACAGTCACATGTAGACATACAATTTGGAATTGAAATTCCCTTTACTAGAGGAAAAATAAATACATGGATGAAGTACCAGAATCCCTTGGGAAGACTTTGGTTGAGTGATGAGGAAGGATAAAGACCAGCCGTTTTGGTTTCAAACGGAATGCGTGGCGCAGAGCTGCTTCAGCGACACCTACTGAACCGTTCGCTTTGTTTAGCTCACGGTGTCTGATCACCGCAAGGCAGGAACGACGGCCTCAGGCGCTCCAGCCAAGGCAGCGAGCACCCAGCACCTCAGCAAGGGCGTCCTCCCGCCTCGCCCACGAGGAGACATGGAGAATGGCACCGAAGGTCCAGGTGACCCGCGCCATGGTAGTGAGAGACGCCATCTACTGGATTGCACCCTGTTCTGCTCCTGGCTATGGCCGGAAACTGACCCAGCAAGCCTTTTTTCTTTTTCGTTTTTAGAGTGCCTTTATAAACAAGGGACCTTAATTTTATCTCAGAACTTGCGCCCCCGTTGCGTTGGGTACCCACCACCAACACCCCAATGAACCAGACCAGGTTGCACGCTCCTTCCTGAGCTTGGAGGTGGCTCTTAAAAGAGCCTTTGGGTTGAGGCGCCGGGACACGCCTCATTTGGAACTGGTGTACTTGGTGACGGCCTTCGTGCCCTCGGACACGGCGTGTTTGGCCAGCTCCCCCGGCAGCAGCAGGCGCACGGCTGTCTGCACCTCACGGGAGGTAATGGTGGAACGCTTGTTGTAGTGCGCCAGGCGGGAGGCCTCGCTGGCGATGCGCTCGAAGATGTCGTTTACGAAGGAGTTCATGATGCCCATGGCCTTGGACGAAATGCCGGTGTCGGGGTGGACTTGCTTCAGCACCTTGTACACGTAGATGGAGTAGCTCTCCTTGCGGCCGCGCTTGCGCTTCTTGCCGTCCTTCTTCTGCGCCTTGGTGATGGCCTTCTTGGACCCTTTTTTGGGGGCTGGAGCCGAGCGAGAAGGCTCCGGCATACTGAGGCAAAACAGCACTCAGACCAACGCTAACCTTGCCAAGGAAAGGGCTATTTATCATCTTTATATTTAAATGAAGGGTCCAAATCTGTACTATCTGATTGGGCAGACTTTAGCCTGGCGACTGGAAAGAAAGTACGTAAATAGAAGATGCCGGTTCTTCTTTCCTATTGGACCATAGTCCAACCAATCCGAAAGCGCATCGGCCGCCTGCCGGAGCTCAGGTGGCGAATCTTTGTTTAAACCTTTTGTTTTAACCCGGAGATTTTTAGTTTCTTCATTATATCTGGACGTGGCTTAAAGGAAAAATGAAACCTAGCCAGCCACAAGCTCGCGTCTCGGACTTTTAATAGGAGGCAAATTCACTGGGTCATTTCTTTCTGAGACTAACACTCAGGAAGCTTAATGCCACTTTACCTAAAGAGGTAGGAAATGGCAGTTTCCAGTTGCCCTATTTATTTGCCGTCATTACTCTCCCTGCCAAAGACAAAAACGATACATTTCTTTCAAACCTAAGAGTAAATACCAAATATTGAAAATATACTAAGATGCTTCCGTTGGAAGTGTGTAGCAGGGCAGATTTTTTACTGGAGAGAGGAATACCCACGAAGCCATGTTGAAGTGACAGCCACAATGCTAAGTGTATGATTTTATGTCTCCTGGTATCTCCAGAGGTGGCTGCTATTACTGCCATTACGTTAGTTATCGTTACCGGAATTACCCAGCAGAACACAGGTTTAGGGAGTCATCCATCTGGGGAATGCGTCCCTAGTAATTTCCAAGATAGAAACGGAAGTTTATGTATTCATATTTCTCACTTGTTTCAGCATTAACTGGAAAGCTGGTTAGAAAAGCAGGATCTTAGGTCCAGTTGAGTCAGAATCTGCATTTTAAAAAGATCCTTGTGCTTATTCCGGTTTGAGAAACCCTGATCTAGAAGCCATTTATCTGCCCTACTTTGGTCAAGTAATATACCTCCTCCGCGCCTCCAATACTTCATCTAGTAATTTAAAAAAAGAGAATATTAATGCCTACCTGGTAGGGTTGCTGTGAATTCATGTGGGTGAAGCATCCGTGAGGGAGCCCCATATATTTAGAGCTTAATTCCGTTAGCTCCTTTCCTTCTCAGAATGGACCCCGCCACCAGCAGCTGGGGCTGCCTCAAGGAGCTCTTTCCATCTCTGTTCATAAATATGCAGCCTGAGCCTTTCTCCCACCAGAACACGGACTACATCCTCAGGGGAAGAATGTGGCTTTCACTCCCACATCTTCACAATGTAGCACACAGCATGGCACCTAGCAGATGTCCACTCAGTGCTCAGTGAATGAATACGCCTGTGAGCCAGTAATTGCCTTCTACATTCGGTTGTCTGCTGAGGTAGATCAGAAGACCAACGCCACTGGAAAATTGTCAGGATTAAAATGGAGTCGCTTATACCCAGCTCTAACAAAAAATACATATGGCTGGGAGATTTTTGAAAAAAGTGATATCACATGTGTGTGTCTGATGATAAGAACTATCTCAAAAGGCTCTGCCAGCACTACAGCCTTGCACAGAAAACACTTCTTCGAGGACATCTCCCAACAACAGTATGTTCAACCTTGGACTGTTGCCACCCTTATTATTGATTCTTGTGATCAAGGACTGTTGTTTCAGAATATCTGGTGTATTCCTCCTCATTTCACCTTTAAAAACTTCCATTTGCCTCATCCTCCTTGAATCTCCCATAGTTTATTAAGGCATGTGTATTACAGTGACAATGTTCTGCTATTACTGAACAAATATTCTTTGGAGAATCTCCCTTCTCTGATTATTATTTATGTTTACACCATTAAGAAAATAGTATATTACTTACAGTTCCCAAGAGGAGGTGGCACACCATGCCACAGGGAACCACATGGGGAAGCACTGGAGTTGGTAAGGAGACAGAGGGAGGTGGCAAGAAACTTCATTGTGGTTTCCACGTGAAATGGGTGAGGCAGGGCAAGCAGGCTCAGCTTGTTTTGAATAATTTCTGCAGGCTCTGTGGCACAGGGGCTGTTGAGTACCAGTCTCTGGCTGATTAGGGGAAGTGGGTGGTATGGGCTCTTGAGTGTAAGAGCCCCACACAGGAGGTGGTTGGGGTCTGGGTTCCTATTGGTGAGTTTGCATATGAAATCATCTCTGCTGGTGAGTTATTTACCATCTGTAGGCATTGTCTAGCTATGGGAGAGCTGTCCTTCCTGGGCCAGCAAGGCCCTAAGTGTCAAAGCACCAGAATAGAGGCAGGGTTTATTTACACTTGCCTTCCTTAAATGTAAGCACTTGGTATGCTGTCCACCTGGGACGTGATGAAGGCAGGGCAATGTGGCCAACACACCATAATCACCTGCTCCCTGACACCCACTTTTGCCATTTCCTAGAGCTCAACAGTTAACCCATGTCTCCTGAAGGCATCCCATGTCTGCAAAGTTGGCTGGCATCGACAAATGATTCAGTATTGTGACTTCAAGATTACACAAGCCCTCTGTGTGCTCAGGGTCCAAATGTCCCAAAGAAGTCAAAGAATCCAAATCACATTGGAGCAAAGAGGAAAGTGTGCTGGTGTTTGTCCTCCTTGCTGGGGGTGAGGGATTTTGTGGGGTGAATTGTGTTACCCAGAAATTCATAGATGTTAGCTCTATGTCCCAGACCTCAGAATGTGACTGTGTTTAAAAGTAGGGTCATTAAAAAGGAAATTATGAGGTCATTGAGTAGACTTTAACCCCATGGGACTGTTGTCCTCATAAGAGATCAGGACACAGATGCACATAGAGGGATTACTATGTGAAGATAGGGAGGAGATGGCATCTGGAAGCCAAAGAGAAAGGTCTCAGGAGGAACCAACCTTGCCAACACCTTGATCTCAGATTTGAGATCAAGAATTGAGAGAAAATACATTTTATTTAAGACACTAAGTGTGATACTTTGTATGGCAGCCTTACAAATGTAGTAAATTGTAGGATCCTCCTCTTAGACCTTCCCCCCTGCCAAAAAGGGCTATAATTTGCATCTGAAGGACATACAAGGTACCAGCCCTGTTTTTCCTTTAGTCACTTTTCAAATAAGGCCTCACATTTTGGCCCAGTGCCAGCCTTGGACGGTGATCCTACCTCTGCCTCCTACCTACCTGAGATTATAGGCATGAGCCTACCATGCCTGTCCCGACATCACATTAATATTTTCTTTAAAAAAAAAATCTCAAACTGCAGGAGCCCTCAGATATGGAGAGCTGACTGTATATTTGTACAAAATTCTTTTGGGGAAAATTGTTAGAAAATGTGCTGTTCTGTTGTGTCACTGTGCATTTTTGGCTTGTATAAATACTATGTACATGTCATTCTGTTTCTCACGTTTCCCACGCTGCTCCTGTGCACATTTCCATGTGCAGAGCTTTCCTTACTGTACTGCCCAAGACATTGTCCTCTGTGGTATGTGGGTGCTGCATTTCTCCCCTGCACCTCCCCAGGGATGGATTGGATGCTGGTAAGATGGAATCTTTTCTAAGAGTTCCTTTCGGACCCAGGCATGGACCTCCTGGACTCAGGGGGCTTTATGCTTGGCTTGACCTTATACTGCTCAGTTGGCTCCAGAATGGCTGACCCAGCTCCCCTCATCCTATCACTGAGAGGGCATTCCTTTATTTCCAGGGTTTGGCTAACTCTTGGCATTCTGTAACTCTGTAATTTTTTGGTGGTTTGATTAAGGTGCAAAATGATATTGCACTGTTGCTTAAACCTGTATTTCTCAGATGACCAATGTATTTGAGACAATTCACGTATGCCCATGCCTTAAACCATTTTGAGTTGCTGCAACAAAATACCAAAGGATGGGCAACTTAAAAAATAAAGGGGTTTATTTAGTTCATGATTCTGGTGGCTGAAAGGTCCTGGTAAGGACCCCCTGGATGCATCACAACATGATAGAGGAGCACAAAGGGAACTGTTTATGTGCAGAGGGGCCAAGCGCATGGAGTGGGCTCATTTTTGTAGTAACTCATGCTCTTTAGAACTAACTCACTCCTTGATAATACTTTTGTGCATGAGACATAGTTTGGAAGAAAATCTCATTATGGGGAAGTTTCCTACCTGTGCATTATGTTGGCACTCAAATAATTTGAGATTTTGGATTTTGGATTAGAGATGCTAAGCCAGTAAGAATAAGACAGTGAATAAGCAGTGGTGATATTTGATGCCTGAATTTGCATTCTTAACTGCTGCTAGGCAGCCATTAAGATATTCAGACAGGGTACACTGCAACCCTGTTCCCAAACTAACTTCTCCCACCCCTGTAGAGTTCAAGTTCTATTTTCTTTAATTTGGCATCTACAAGAAATAGCTCAAGTTGAGTTTCACTTATGCTTGTAAATCAAGCAGAATGAGATCATTCAGGAAGCCTTACTGTTTTTTCTTTAATAATACAAACTCAAAATAGACCAGAAACAACTAATAGAAATTCATGTAGAAATGAGTAAGTCAATATAGCCACAGATTTCAACACTACTACTGATAAACTGACACTGATAAACTGAGTCCAAAGAGAGCAGAGATAGTAAAGAACTGAATAATACAACTAATGTCTTGAACTTTTAGAAATATAGCCAATAAGCAGAACAGTTACTTTCGTTCTGAGCCCTGAGAAAATGTACAAAAACAATCCATCTATTTAGTGCAGTCACTACCAAAGAGATTCTGTCCTATATCCCTGTGGTAGTAAAATTACAAATCACTAACCAAATTTTAGCTGCAAACTTTATATATTTGGAAACAAAATCATATATTGCTATATAATGTGAGGGTTAAAAACAATAAATCCTTATACTAAGTGATAAAAGCCAGACAGAAAAGAAAAAACTGTGTAATTCCACTTATAGGACATACCTATGATAGACAAAGTCGTAGAGACAGAAAGTAGAATGGCGCATGCAGGGGCTAGGGAGTGAGGAACGGGGAATTTAATGGATGCAGAATTACAGTTTTGCAAGATGAGAGAGTTCTGGAGATGGATGAGGGCAAAGGTTGCACAACATTGTGAAGGTACTTAATGCCACTAATGTGCTTAAAATGGTTAAGATGGTATATTTTATGTTATGTATATTTTACACAATTTAAAAAAATCATGAGGGAAATCACATTTAGATCCTAATAAGCATACATTATACATAAGAATATATGTGATACAGCTAGTTATAATAAAGAGTAAATAAAACTTTATTCACATTATGAGGAATGAATACAGGCTTAAAATTATTTTTTCAAGAGCATTATTCTGAAAGCTTAGAAAATTCTGGGTTTTTATTTTCACAAAAATGCCATGCTTGCAATTTATCTTTGCTACTTAATCTTTTTTCTTTTGCTATTTCATCCCCAAAATACTTGTTCTTTTTTTCTTTTTAATCTTCCAATTCTTTCATCACAGTTTTTCTTGAAACAGAAAAATACAAAAGGAAATTTAAAAGCAGTCTTTATTTTAGATGGGGTTGGCAGTTTTGTGCAGGTAATAACATGATGTGTGACTTTTAGTGTCTTCTAACAGAAGATAACCCAGACATCCCCCAATTTTAACATTCTAGGAGCCCCACACCTTTCATTTGCATATGGAAAACCTGGAAGAATACCATAGCAACTTCAACTTTACCTTGAGACAAACTGTATTTCTAAGTCTTATTTCTGTCTTTAGATTTCTTTTCCACGTAGCAGACAAGAAAGTTCCTCTGAATTTCCTGCCCTTAATCTAAATATCCTGTATGTTTGATTATTTCTCTTACAAACACAGCTTATGGACTCTAGAATTCCTTTCCATACTCTGGTTTATGAGAATAGAACTTCAAATAATGTACACCTCACAAAATACACATCACATCCACAACTTAAGTGTGGGATTACAATTTCCTGTTATTAGAATTTACTTCTATTCTACTGGTCTATTTTGTTGTGGCCTTGAAAAAAACTTTATCACACTCTTATATAGAAAATATTCAGATTTTTTTCATAGTTGTCAGTGAAATGCCCAAATATTTCACATTAATAAATTTATTATGTTAAGAAGGAAGATGGCTCAACACAGCAAAAATCTATGGTGAGACAGTCTTGTGGCAATATGTCCCTAGAAGCAATATCTGTAAAACCAGTTTACTTAATAGTAAAAAAAAAAAAGGAATCTTGTTTTATTTTCCCAAGAAAAAAAATATTTTTCTTGTATGTGTTCAGTCATTTATGGGGTTTGTTCCCTTTGTGAACCAACAAAACCCATGTGGGAGGTATGTTTTTGTGCTTTTCCTTATTGAATTTTATGAACCCTGTACATTTGTGGCTAGAATTTTCCTAGTTTCTCTGGTTGGCTTTGATAATTCGTAATTATTTGTTACTTACAGGATTAGTCTATCATGGAGTTTGCTCAATTTTTAACAGTCTTAAATAACTTCCATTTATTTATTTATTTTTTTCTTGGTGGGACTAGGGTTTGAATTTAGGGCTTCCTGCTTGCAAAGCAAGTGCTCTACTGCTCCACCACCTTCAGACCTATTTGCTTTTATATTAGTATTTTAAGTTAAATATTATGCCAATCAGAAGAGCTATTTAAGAAACAGCAAGGATTTCGCACATACATCTCAAAAGTAGAAACCGTTAAGAAAAAAATTACTAGTGATTTTATAAATTGAAACATTTGTACCTGGTAAGGGTGTAATGAGACAGTCTTTCGGAAAGGCATTTAATATACAGCAAAAACTTAACACATTGTACCCTCTGACAGAAATTTGACTAGGAATTTGAGTTTTCTCAATTTTAAAAATAAATTTTACAAAATCGTTTCCTCCATAACGTTTAGCCAACAAATCACATAGGCTTGACTTGAAGCCTTCTGATTATTGCTACACAGAACTTCACTAGCTATTTATTTGTTGCATTTCCAAGTCAAACCAGATTAAAAAAAAAACAAAAAAACCCTAAAAACCCGAAACCGCCATACACAAAAATTCCTCAGAATACCTTTACCTGTATAGAATAAGGGCTCCATTTTTTTAAATTAAAAATTTATGTGGCTTGAATTTAATTATTAAAAAACCTGCGTGTTTGTTTGCTTTCAAAATAAAAAATAGATTGCTTCATATCTGACATCCTTCGTAACTGAATCGATGAGAGCGTCGTCTCTGCTACAGTCCTCAGTGGCAGGGCACAGCCCCTGGCAGACAATGGACACCAAGGCCAGTAACTCCTCAGGAATCAGAAAAGAGGCCCAGTGGAACAAGTCCACGCAGGCAGGCCCGGGTGTGGGTGGGAGTAGGCAGGGAGCGGCCAGCCAGGGAAGGGGCCATGCAGGACAGCGCACGTCCACGCGGGTTGGGGCGGGCAGGACACGTGCACGCGAGGCGTGTCTACGCAGGGCAGGCCACCCATGCAAAGTCCTCACAGGGCGCGTGCAGGAGTAGTGCACGTAACATGGGTCTGTGCATGATGGCCCTGCGTAGGAAAGGTCCACAATGAGCACGTCCTCGGGAACCCAGTGTGAGGACTTGCTGGAGGAAAGGGCCCACGCAGGCAGGTTTGCCACACAGTCCTCGTACTCCGTCCCCGCCCCAAGTGGGCGTGGTGTCAAGAGAGACAACTGGTCGTTCAGGTCCTAGCAACTTACAAAAAAGACTTTAAAACATAGAATCTCCGAAAACAATGTCGTTTCCCCCTCGCCTATGATTCATTTATGCAAAAGTGACAGTCCCAGTAAGATTTTACAGTAGGGAGTTGGGACTTTAACAGGTACCGCTGCCAGGACCTGGAGTAGCAAGCGCACCACTGCCAGGACCTGGGCTTGGAGCGCTCGGTTTACAGGACCCGGGTGGAAAAGCTCACCGCTGCCAGGACCTGGACGGAAGAGCGCATGGTCGCCAGGAACCCGCCTTGCGCGCGCGCTTCCGGCGTTGGCGTAGTCGGTGTAGTCCGTGTGCGAGTCCTCCGACGCAATCCGCGGTCGGTTGGGCTGCCTGCCCGCGCCCTTTCTTCTTGCGCCCTAGCCGGCCCTACCGCTCGCAGCCCTGGCGCTCCCCGTCGGTCCCGCCGAGGCCGCCTGCGCCCTGTGCCAGCGCGCGCCTCGAGAGCCGGTGCGTGCCGACTGCGGCCACCGTTTCTGTAGGGCGTGCGTGGTGCGCTTCTGGGCCGAGGAGGACGGGCCCTTCCCCTGCCCCGAGTGCGCCGACGACTGCTGGCAGCGCGCGGTGGAGCCCAGCCGCCCGCCGCTCAGCCGCCGCCTTCTGGCGCTCGAGGAGGCGGCTGCGGCCCCGGCGCGCGACGGCGCGGCCAGCGAGGCCGCGCTGCAGTTGCTGTGCCGCGCCGACGGGGACCCGCTATGCGCCGCCTGTCGCATGGCCGCGGGCCCGGAGCCACCCGAGTGGGAGCCGCGCTGGAGGAAGGCGCTGCGCGGCAAGGTATGCTAGAGATTCCAGTATTTGCCTACCCCAGGCTCTTCGCGGTGCCACGTCTCGTCCACCCCGGGGTCTCCCTAGCGCGCTGCACCCGTACCCGGAGGTCCTTCCTACACTGGGCCCCCAAGGGTCCTGCTCCTTTCCCACCCTGGGGTCCGTAAAAAGTCCTGTGTTCCAGCCCCCAGCTCTACTTAACCAGCTCCTGGACCCTGCCCTGTTCCATCTTCCATCTCCAAAGAGTGCCCTGTGCCCCTTCTCATTCTGTCTCTGGCCTGGCAGTTCATCACCTTGTCCCTCACTCCTAGCGGGTGCCTTTTCCCGTACCCTCTGTGTCCTCGTGGACCCCACCCCCCTGGCATCGTCACGTCCACCCAGGCATCCTCCCACCCCCACAGAAGTACTCTTTTACTTGCACTGGGGTCTGACATCATTGCAGCAGGCCTCTCCCCTCTCCTTGCTGGTGGAACCCCGTGCTGTTCTGGGGACCTGGCTCCTGATTCCCAGTGTGTCTCCTTCAGCCAGCCGTCTGAGGTTCAGCCAGTCCACTTCATTCTGGAACCTTCTCTGCTGTGTTCTCTAGGCCTTTGCATGAGGCACCTGCCATTGGTCGGAAACCCACCTCCACAGAGTACACCCAAAGCTGGGACTTGGGGCTTGAAGTCACTCCTCTGAAGAGGAAGGGAGAGGGGCTCAGCGTTATTTCTAAGAGAATAGTAGACAAGCCCCTGGGTAACAAGACAGCTGATGCCTGTCCCCCACACTCCCACCCAGCAGAGGTAGACACAGTGGCTGGCTTGGTCTGTTTGAGGGCCTGTTAACTGCATGGTCTGGGAATGGCTCACGGTAAGCCCAGGGATCATTTCCGGTGAACACCACACGGTGGAGGTGAGGGCCAGAGGCTACACTGATTCCATCCTGGGGTTGGTGCCTTGCCAGATTATGCTGCTGGGTAGTCCTGCTTGAGGCAGAGTGTAGAAGAGACAGAGCAGGTCTTTGTATAGATTGTGCTCACATTAAAGGGGGTGAGTTAACTGGAATGTCAAAGGCAGCACCTGAGAAGGTGTGAAGCATAGAAAACTATTTGCAGGGGCATCATGTTGACCTCTCCCCCCAACCCCGAAACATACAGGAGGGCAGCTTTGGGTTATTTATGGGACAGTGGCAGTTACAATGTCCCCTTGGTCTGGCCCTAGGCCTTCTTATCATCCCCTCCCCCCCCACCTCCCAGGCCCCCAGTAACCAGCTTCTCTCTCCCAGGAGAACAAGGGGTCTGTGGAAATCATGCGCAAGGACTTGAACGATGCCCGGGACCTGCATGGCCAGGCAGAGTCAGCGGCTGCTGTGTGGAAGGCAAGTGGGGGGCATGTGGAGGGCTCAGGGTTGACTGGATACAGGGAACAGGCCAGGTAGCAAAACTGGGTACCTGCTGGCCTGCTTGACTGGAGCACCATTTTGTGGGTAATTTCCAAATAGAATTTTTGTGGGTAATTCCCAAATAGAATCTAGCCAAAAATAAGGGCTCTCCCCCCGCACCCTCCCACCCCCAGCCATCATTTATGTGAGGGTAATTTGTATCATCCAACTTAATATTTTTTCTCTTTTTTACACATAATGCTTTGTAAGTACTCTTGTTTCTAATCTGAGAGCAGTCTGTTATTTACCAGTAGAATTTGCTAAGTTTTCTGACTGCCATAAAAAATACCCTGTCCTGAGCAGCTTAAACCACAGACATCTATTGCTCACAGTTCTGGATGCCTGAAGTCCAAGGTCAAGGACTGGCAGATTCTGTGTCTGGTGAGGGTTGCTTCCTGGTTCATAGCTGGCTCTTCTCCCTGTGCCTTTACATAGCAGAAGGGGCAGGAGCTATTTGGGATCCTTTTTGTAAGGGCAATTATCTCATTTATAAGGTTCTGCTCTCCTGACCTAACCACCTTGCAAATGCCCCAACTGGAGGTGAGGATTTCTACATATGAATTTGGGGGGTACACAGTCAGTGTTTAGCAGCTTGTCTTGTTCCTCTGATGCCTTCCACAGCATTATACACCAAGGTGACATCTCACTGTAGTTCTTTCAACAAAACTACACGTTAGCTTAAACTCTGTGGTTATTTCTTTGTATATATTAAAATTTATAACAGTTTCTCCAGGTTCCACGCTTTTTTAGCTCCCCCCTACCCCCGCTTTTTTAACATATAAAGAAAGTGTTTTGGAGACAACAGAAGCCCCGAAGCTCTCAGTTGTGGGTCTATACCTCAAGCTGAGGCCACCTGTCCTATGCTATGGGGTGGCCCTCTGTGCTATGAGTCCAGCTCATCTGTCTGCTCCATGGAGGCCTGAAGTTCAAGAAGAGGCACAGAAATAGGGATGATCTCCTTCCTGCCTGTTATAAGAGTCATGGTCAACACCCTTATATCAAAAGACAAGCTAATAGGAGAAGAGCCTAACAGATTTATTCCATCATGGTTCTATGTGACATGGGAGCCTTCATCTTGAAGAACTAAGTACCCAGGGTGAAATATCTGTCTCTGTGAAGCAGGAACGGCTGTGTAGAACAGGATTGTCAGAAAGGATGTGATCTGATGTTCACAGACCGGGGAAACACAGCTGCCTGTGCAGATTGTTGACCTCTGTGCAGCATTCCTTCCTTCCAGGTATGGGACAGCCCCATTGTGAAGTGAAGTCTTATGACATACTATCATAGGGGCAGATCAAAGAATTTCTCTATGGCTGTCTCCAAGGCAGAAAGGTAGGGAAAGTTAGAGTAGTTTTTTAGGTTTAGCTTGTTTTGGAAAGAGGGTATAGTTTCTGTGACCTACATTAGAGCAGAGAAATTCTAGTTTCTATGGCTTGGAAAGATGAGTGCGTGTTCTGACAGGGCAGTCATGTGCCACACAAATCTGTAGACCTGTTGGCTGTGGGAAGCTGGAGACAGGATCTTCAAGTGCACTTCACAGCAGTTGGCCCTCTGTACGTGTGGGTTCTGCATTCGAGGATTCAACCAACCTCAGACCAAAAATGTAGTTAGAGAGCTGGGGATGCAGCTCAGTGGTAGAGCACTTGTCTAAAGTGTAAAGGCCCTGGGTTCAATCCCCAGCACTGCAAAAAAAAAAAAAAAAAAAAATCCACAAACAAATAGACAAACTTGGTGCGATAATGCATGCTGGTAGTCCCAGCACTTGGGAGATGGAGGCAGGAGGATCAAGAGTTTGAGGCTGGTCTAGGCTACATAATGATACCCTGTCTCAAAAAACGAAATAAAAAAAAATGTAGTTAGACATAGGATGGTTGTATGTGTACTTACATGTAGACTTTCTTCCTTGTCATTATTCCCTAAACAGTACAGTAGAATAATTATTTATGTGCCATTTACTTTGTGTCCAGTATTATATATCACCTAGAGATGAGTTAGAGTATATTGGAGATTGCACATAGGTTGCATGTAAATACTATGCCATTTTATATAAGGCTCTCTAGCACAACAAACTTTAGTGTCCTGGGATGGGGGTCCTGAAACCATTCCATATGGAAACTGAGAGATAACTGTGCAGGGAAATAAAACTTTATTTCATCTCCCAGGGGCACATGAATTGAATTGACACAGGTAAATCAACAGGAGAGTTCATCAACACAAGTTTGAGTCCTCATGAGGGCTCAAAAGAAGCAGTTAAGAGTTAAGTGTGTATGTACTGAATTGGACAAAGAATAGCGGGTTGTGAAAAAGCAACTAAGTTTTTTCAGGGAGCATAAAAGATGGGAGTTATTTTAACAGGTCTGTTCGGAATCCTCTCAGCCTTGACTCTCATCCTTGATGATATGAATGCCACTCTTCTTGGTTCAGGGAGGATGCAGTACTCCGTTTTTTTGTTGATGTAACAAATACCCAAGACTAAGTTCTGTATAAAGAAAATAGGCTTATTAGCTTGCAGTTCTAGAAATTGAAAGTCCAAAGTCAAGTGGTTCCATCTGTTTGGCTTTTGGTGAGGGCTTCATGGTGGTAGAAGCACATATGGAGTAGATTGGGAAGCCAGAGAGACCCAGGGGCCAGGCTTGCTCTCTTTATAACAACCTGCTGTCTTGGGAACCATTCAGTCTGTGAGACCAGCATTAATCCCTTCTGAGAGCACACCCCCAGTGACCTAGCTACCTCCCCCTAGTCCTGGCCTCTGAAAGGCCCTGTCAACTCCGTCTTGCCACACTAGACCAAGGTCCAGGTAATGAACATTGGGAGGCCCACTCAGATCCTAAAAGAGTATCTTTCACGTGGGAATTTCATCTCCTTTGAGAAAGAGTGAAGATCAGAATCCTCTTGGACCTGCTATTTTTTTAAGTACCTTTAATTCAAAAGGCCCAGGCAGTATATTTTGGGGTGTCATATTTATAACTCTTGAGAATAGATAAGGTTCTCTTCACCAGGTATGGGGGGCAGTATTCCTGGGGAGAGTGGGCCAAGGTGGCCACAGGGCCCAAGAACACAGATGTCCTTTCTGTCACCTGCCCTGTAGGGACACGTAATGGACCGTAGAAAGAAGGCCTTGACTGACTACAAGAAGCTTCGGGCCTTCTTCGCTGAGGAGGAGGAGCACTTTCTGCAGGAGGCTGAGAAGGATGAAGGTGCCTCGGAGGATGAGCAGGCTGACCCGGCCGAGCGGTTTCGGTCCCTGCTGCAGGCTGTGTCAGAGCTGGAGAAGAAGCACCGCAACCTGGGCCTCAGCATGCTGCTGCAGGTACCGGGCCATGTGGGGGGTGGGCAGGAGCAAGCTCATGCCACACTATCTCCCACGGTCAGCTCAGAGTGCCTGGCTGCAAGATAAGTGGGAGCCTTTGTAGGAAGAGCTATCCAAAGTCAAGGCCCCTACCCCTTGCCTGGCCTCTGGGGCTGAATTTTGGGAATGAGTGGGTTCCAGTCAAGGTAGACTACTAAAGGAATTTTAAGCTGAGAAGGATACAGAGTGCCCCTGGCTTCCATTTAGAAGGGGATGTTTGTACCTTGAATGAGGAAGCGTGGAGGGCCCACTCCACCCTGGGACTGGGGGCAGGAGCAGTCAGGACGTCCCTCCAGATCAGCTGTCATTCTTACCCTCTTCCCTGAGGCCTGGCTTAAACCCCAAGGTTTGCAGCAGCCCACCTGGACTTTTTCTGCCTGGGCTTGCAATGCTGGCACCAACAGTTCCCTGTCTGGGAGGTGTCATTCGTTCCCAGCACTTAGCCAGGTCTGAGCATTTCAGTCACAATAGTGACAGGTGACAAGGCTGGCCTTGGCATATAGTTTAGGTGGGGTATCAGATCACCTGAATTCTGGGTTTGTTGTGCTCAGGGCAGTAGCTTTCTCTGTCTCTCTGTCTCTATCTCTCACTGTCTGTCTTTCCTTCCTTCTTTCTCTTCTCTTTCCATCTCTCTCACACTGTCTCTCTCTCTCTCTGAATTTCTCTGTCTTTATCTTTCCTCTCTGTCTCTTTCATTCTCCCTGTCTCTCCTCTGTCTCTGTCTCTCTCCTTCTCCCTTCCCCTGCAGTGATGGTGCTGACCCAGCAGGTGGTTCCTCAGGAGCACGAATCAGAAGGGACTGCCTTCCACAGCTGGCCTGCAGCAGCCCCCCACCCCTTGAGTCCCCTTTGCCCAGCAGCACCCTCCATCCTGGACGGATCCTCAGCACCGACATCACATAGGCCGGGATGAAGCATTACAGGTGCCCCTGCCTTTGGTCGTCCATATAGCACCATATCTCAGCAAAGTGTTGTTTTCCATTTTCTTTGAAACGTGAATGTGTTCAGGGCTGTACTATTTTGTAGTAGAGGCTAGTTCCAGGATTCCCTCCCCAGTGTCTGACCCTTCCTGAACCCTTGCCTGAGATCTTCCAGGTTCCTGTTCTTGTCATGATTTAGGGCCTGGTGTGTTGAGATGTCCCTCTCTTGTCAAAGGAGCTAAACCATACACTTCCCCCACAGTGCCCATGATGGGGCGGGTCCATGGGACATTCCTTCTCAGGTGGGAGGTCCCTCAGCCAGATTCTGGGGTGCATCAGTCAATATTGGATTTGGGGTTAGCACCGGAGGAAGGTGATGCACTTGGGATGCTGTTTGAGACCCGACTCTTTTGAGAAGAGCATTCTTGACCCTTTCTGAGAGGGGTCTCTTCCTCCCTGGGGATCTTGCTGTGCCATACACTCATTCTGTCCTCAGTTTTACTTCCCTGTCCCCATTTTCCTCCTGGTTTGTGTCACCAGCATCCCTGGAGTGTTCCCTACTCTTTCCTGCCTCTTGTGTAAGGGACCATATTTCCCAGCAGAAGAGGGATGGTGGGGGCAGTTTTCTAGGCCTACCCTGGTGCTTGACCTTGCTGTATCTTTGGCTTCTTGCTTCATATTTCCTGCAGTAGGCGAATTTCAGAAAATTTATGGCATAGCAGTAGTGTGGTTGCCTGCAGCATTGTTGTGTGTAGATTATCCAAGGGACAAAAGCTCAGCACAAATGGTCAGAAACAGGAGGTCAGGAGTCTTAGACACAGGCATGTTTAGTTTCACTCTTGAGTACACTTTTTTCAGGGAAAACAGCCTCAGTGGCTGACTGTTTTCTGTCCTGGAAGTTCCTGGCCTTGGGTGTGGTAACTGAGTCTGACCTGGCCCTGCCCCCATGTGGGCTGGGTACTTAGTGCTGAATAAAGTGGGTTTGCTCCAGCCTGTTTGCTTCATGTCCCTCCTCTTGTCTCTCTGTCCACATGGCCTCTTCCCCCTATCCCTGGCTAGTCTTCAGTTTTAAAGAAAACTTTTTCAGTAATCCTTATTAAAGCATGGTAAGGCAGATTTTGTTCCACATCACTGAGATAAGGTTGTGGTTCACTTGAGTGGAGCCTCGCAGTTGGGGAAGGAGTTTGGACTTACCTCCACTGTAGCCTGGGCAAGTAGAAATTTGCAGCTAAGGAACAGAGTGGTGTTAGTGGTTAGGAAATGGCTAAAAGGAGACATAAGGAGTGAAGAAGACAGTGGCTGGAATCCCTTAACAGGATTTCTAGTGAAAGCAAGAGTAATAAGACATCACTGGGAATGGTGGGGAAAGAGGAGCCTGGTCAGATATCATAGGGTGGTTGAATATCAAGGCTGGGGAGTTCTCTTTAGCCCAGTAAGGGTGAGGTGCAGACCCATAGGGAGGTTTAGGAACAAAGGTGCAGATGGCACTTAGTTCTCCCAGCGAGTGCTCCCTTTTTATTTCTGACAAGAATGTGATCTTGGAAATCAAGTGGTGCTGTATGGGGTAGAAGCTGAAGTTAGAATTCTAAGTCAGCTGTGTGCCACACTACAAGTTGCAGATGTGAGAAATGCCAACCAGACTGGGAAAAGCTGCTTTGTTTATCTCAGAATCAGTGATTGGTGTGTCTTGTGGATCCCAATATTGCCCCAGGAATGGCCAGAAAGCCCTAATAAATAACCATAACCCATGAGGTGTGTGTTCAGCATCAGAAAACCTGAGCACCTTTACCTTGTCCTCATCCCTATGACTCCAACTAGGCCGAATGGATCTTGGAAGAGCTGTCTTAGATTCAGAGGCCTGAGTTTGCATGCCAGACCTCTGCTTGCCAGCTGGGTGGGCTGCCGTTTTCTACATAAACCCAGGTAGTGATAGTACTCTCTACCATCTTGGTTTCAGCATTAGATGAAAACAATTTTGGCTGGCACATGGACACCACCCCTTTTCCCTGATCTCTCATTCTGGTGGGAAAGCCCTATTCTGTCCTTTTCCCATATCCAGGGTAGTCTTGGGTCCTCCCCTCTCTACCCTTCCCAGCACCTGGACCTCAGACCCCATCATTACCAGGGCCCACCAGATCTCAGGTCTGTTCTCCTCTCACTATAAGATGAAGCAGCTCTCCAGTGCATCTCTCTTTACTGCTCTGGCCAGTTTTGTCCTCCCCTATTGCACCATTGGGGAAACCAGCTTTCTCCTAAATCAGATTTGGTGGCACATTCTTGTATCTGGTGAGGGCTGCTTCCTGGTTCATACCATTCTCACTGTGTCCTTACATGGAGGAGGGGGTGGAGGGGCCTCTCCAGGACAGGACACTAATCCTGTATGTGAGACTCCACCCTCATGACCTCATCACTTTTTCCAAAGGTCTCACCTTCCTAATACCATCACCTGGGGTAGAGGATGAAGCATAGACATTCAGTCCACAGCAGAAGCCAAAGGGCTCAGAATCCCAGGGAGAGATGTTCCAGTTTGATTTTTGAGCAACACAAATTGTACACGCCTAAGAGTGATGACTGTCAGATTGGTGATGAGAAAGTGCCCTGCTCCCAGCCTCTACTGCTGGTACATATTGTCCAGCAGAGTTCACCAGACTGAAGCTGGGTGTTCACTGCACTGTTACAGGTGGTGGTAGGAAGGGTGGACATCCAGTACCCTTTGCTGGAATGGCAGAAGGAAAGATGGGGAGAATAAGATCTGGGATACCCTGCAGCCCTGGAAAGGATGAAATGAGCCAGACACATGTTGCATGGGTGGGGCTTCAGGATACCATGGAAAATGGCCAAAAAATAACACATGCACACATAACAGTCTGGATTAAAAAGACTTCAAGCAGGGTGCTGGTGGCTCATGCCTGCAATCCTAGGTACTTGGGAGGCCAAGGTTCGGAAGACTGAGGTTTGAGGCCAGCCTAGGCACATAATTCACAAGACCCCCATCTCCAAAGTAACCAGAATAAAATGGACTGGAGGTTTGGCATAAGTGGTAGAGTGCCTGCTTTGCAAGTGTGAAGCCCTGAGTTCAAACCCCAGTCCTACCAAAAAAAAGAAAAAAAAAAAGATACTTCAGACATCAAATGGAACCTGGTGAGCTGCTTGCCTATGCGGTAGGAAATGGGGAAGAGGATTGGAGAATGAATGGAATAACAATACAAGAAGAAACCTTTTATACAGAGGACTGTGATAGGAAAAAGTTGGAGGCAAGGGAAGCAGTCATATCTCAGGCCTTCTCTTTTTGGAAGAAAACCAGGTTCTAGGACACTTTAGGTCTGACCTCTATTTGGGTTTTCTACAACAGCAGTCTGTCACATCTTGGGGATAGGGTTAGTGAAAAGAGCCTTAGAAATTTTGGAATATTAAAATGTTACGCATACTGGAAAAGGTTGGGGCCCAGCACAGTAAATTAACAAAGGATACAGTGGTCCCTCAGTACTCACAGGGGACTGATCCTAGAACCCTCAGGTATACCAAAGTCTAGGTGCTCAAGCCCTCATATAAAATGGCATAGTATTTGCATATAACTTGTGCACATCTTCAGTTATACTTTAAGTTATCTCTAGATTACTAATACCTAGTATGATGTAATGTATAGTAATCTAGAAATGCAGTTCTATATTGTTTAGAGAATAGTGGCAAGGCAAAAGTGTATGTTCGGTACACATGCAGTTTTTTTTCCGAAATGTTTTTGATTTGCACTTAGTTGAAGCCACAGGTGCAGAACCTGCAGACACCCAGGGCTGGCTGAACTTTGAATATTCTAATGTGCAAAGATACGCAGCTGGGCCTGAAAAGATGCAGTGGGTCCCTCTGGCAGAACCACAATATGCAGGTTGCAGGTGAACTTGCTGTCAATTTAATTGTGAGGCTGTGCTTGAATCTCATGACACAACTCTGAAGCCCTCTGCTCCAGCCATCCCTAGGCAGATTCATTCAAAGACTGGCTCAGACACCGACCTCATGTTTTCTCAATGAAAGTTTAGTGCCTGGAAAGGGTTGGACGGCTACAGAATAACCCAGGAACAGCCAAAATTACTGGGAAAGCAATGCCTCCATAAGTTCATGTGAGTAAAGGTGTCCATTGCATCTTTATTCTACATACCAGTGATAAGGATGCGTACAAGAGGTGCTTTTTATTCCTTTAAGAGAATCTTACTGAGTTTGGAGATGGATAATTAAAATGAGACAGATAATGTTTTGGTCTCTGAGCTTTTATTAAACCTTCATGAAGAGTAATGTACTATGGAACAACATCTACTTGGCAGATACACATGTTGATAAAACCATTTAGAAACAAAATGTCAACTGAAACACTGCTGTTGGTCCATTACACTTTAAGCCAGTCGGTACTAATTAAACTGTCACAGGACAAAGTAGGACTCTGATGTCTGTTTTTACAGGACTTTGCTACAAAAAAAAAAAAAAAAAAAAAAAAAGGTTTTAAAAATACAACAGCAAGCCAAATATGTTGGTAGTAGCTATAAGGACTCCTCACACCTCTTTACTTCACAGAAAAAGCCTATAAAAGAATTTCAGTCCCGTACCTTGGGTCAGTTATGGGATTAGTCTTGTAATATGCCTCTTATCTCTCTCTCCTTTTGTACAGGCAACTTTGTGTACAAAGTTGACCTCTCTAGGCAAAACTCCATGCTTTTCTTCTCCAGGTACTGGAATGCCCCAGCCTAACCCCTGGTCAAGCCCCTCACCTTTTCCCTAGATCCCTTTACCAGACTGATACAGCCTTTCAGAGCTGAGTGTACTGCCGCACTCCAGGATGTCTGATGCCACTGCCCAGTGCAGTGGTTCAGTAAAGAGGATGATTTCCATTGGATAAGTTAAGATCAGCTGGGAGAAGCCAGCTTGTCTTAGGCTCAGCACTCCAGGGGTATGGGGGATCCCTTGCTAGCCAGAAGGAAGGTTGGGGCAGGTAGAGTGAAGTACCTACCTGCAGCCCTAAAGGTGTTGACCAAACCAAGAATTGACACAACTGAATAAAACTGAATGTGAGCCTGAAGGAGTTCAGGATATACCTCCCCACATATGCTATCTTGGCATACTGATAACTTTGAGTTGATTGATAGCTCTTGAAAACCTGCACATTCAGGAGAGGCTTTCTTAAACCCCCTTAACTGCGTAAGGACAGGTTCTCCAAAAGGAACTTGGCATCAGCCCTCTTGGAGGAATTTAATCAAACAGGGAAGGTGAACTGATCACAAACAGCATCTCTCCCAGCTGTCTTCCAAGATTCCACTTACCTTAACTAAAAATCGTTAATCTTCCCTGACTTGCCTACATCCCCCTCTCTTTTCCCCTGTGAAGATGGCATAGGCGTTCCTAAGTCTCACTTTTTTGGGAGAGTATTCACTTAATTTTTGAGACCCCCAGGGTACAGAACATGCCTTCCCAATCATTACTCTGCCTTTTTCAGGGGTTGAGTACTTCCTGGTCCTAGCCACCTGAGAAGTGGCCAGAGCCAAAAGGCTGGTTCTTCTATTTTTCTAAACAGCAGAGGTGATGGCGATTCTCAGGTATTCAGTAAAGTGATTCCATCGTGGCCATTAAGGCCAAGCTCACGGAAAGCTGTGCTGTGTTCTTTGCCATATGCGGTCAGGACTGTATGCAAATGAAACTAGGTCTCTCCTGATTGGACAAGTGGCCCCACGGAGCACCCAGTGGGGTTTCCTGGTGGAAGCGCTGTCAGCTCATTGGTGGCTACGCCCCTTTATAAAACCTGGGTGCCGCGCATTTCTGCAGTACCTCACCATGCCAGTCTGGTCTGTCCAGTTTCCTTGTCTCCGTCTCCACGTTCTCTTGGGCTAGCTTGGGGACAAGTTGCTGGGCAAGCACAGGTGCGGTCGTCGCGCACGGAGCTGCAATTCCTTCTGGGTGGTGTACCAGCTGCTGTTCCGGGCGCCGGCACTCAACAGTGGAACGAGATGGTGATCACCCGAGTCTCCAGCAGGTGGCCTACCGCAAGGACGGGGTGGTCCACAAGCTGCAAGTTGTGTGACCATTGCGCAGGCCTGTGTTCTGCCCAACACATCCTGCGCAAGGCAGGCCATCACAAGGCCAAGGGTTAGTGAGGCCCTGCCGCTCCCGGGGGTCTTTCAATGGACATCAAGGCTCCCGTCGGAACCACCAAAATAATGGGAGTGGAGATACTGGAATCTGCTCTTTCCTAGGCTTTTTGTGTTTTTGTGCACCTGAAGTCCCAGTGTGAAGCTTGGCTCCCGAGTTAGGCCGCCATGCCTTTTAGGTACACAATGGGAGCCTCTTGACCCAAACAGGCTGTCTGGTCCTGGGCAACAGTCATGAGTGTGTGTTTTACTCTTGTGCAACCTTTTCTCCTGTCGTGTGGGTGGACATGGACGACTATATTGTAGCAAGGATTTGGAATGAATTTCCTCTGGACACTTGGGCAGCACCAGTGATGGCCTCCGTGACTTTCCTGCCATCTCCTGAGTAGCATTCATCTGGGGAAGCGCACCTTCGAGAAGTCTTGGTATGGTGGGAGTTAGCTAGGAAACCTACCAACACAAGAGTAACTAGCCAGGCTGCAAAATAGACTCAATGCTAGATTCTGTCCCTGCTCAACCCTCCTGGATCACCCAGGCTTTCCCACCATAGCGAGTTTTTTTTTTTTTTTTTTGCAGGGCCAGCAGTTGAATTCGGTAATTTGGGCTTGCGAGGCAGGCTCTCTATCACTTTGCCAGCCCCAGCCGAAGCTAGTTTAAATCCTATCCCGCCCCCGCCCCAGAATATAAAGCATCTTCTTTCCCCAAATTGTAAACTACACAACTAGGACTCTTAAGTTCATAGAGCTCTAGGGCCTTCAACGGCTGGATGCACAACTGACCCCAAGATCTTAGAGGTCATGGCTACTCACAACTAGGATTTTAGCTGAGGATTGTTGTCTGTTGTGGTTGGGATGAGAGGGGCAAAGTCCAGGGAAGGGAAAGGTAAGGCTGAAAATTTTGCCAACCATCACTATTTTCTCTCTCTCTCTCTCTCTCTCTCTCTCTCTCTCTCTTTGTGTGTGTGTGTGTGTGTGTGTGTGTGTGTGTGTGTGTACATACGCCTCCTTATCACAATAGTTAGTAGGACAGAGAAATTGCTGTCCCGAGGACCTTCCTCTTTATGGGTGATTTCTGATCTGCTAAGCAAAACTCCAAGCTTTTCCACAGTGTCCCCCCTCCTTTGAGATGTCTGTTGGCCAGTCTGAATGTGGACAGCTGCTGAGAAGTCTATAGATTTATAGTCAGCTGGCCCTGGGAAGTTAAGCTAAGAAACTAAAAATACAGGGCAACTACCGAGCCTGCAAAAAAAAAAGATAGCTTTTAAAAACAAACAAAAAGTGAATGTTAAGAGGACTCATTGCCTGCTGCGTCCTTCAGGTCTCCTGGGTGGTGGCTATCCTTCACCTTACCTTCCACATCAGGACTGGAAACTTTCCTGCATCGTTTTAGCTGACCTGAAAAAAAATTGACACATAGAATCATACATATTTATGGGATATCCTGTAATATTTCCATGCATATATGCATCATATAGTGTTTAAGTCAGGTTAAACACTATCTTCTCAAACATTTGTCATTTCTTTGTGATTAAAAAAAAATTCCATAGAACTGGGGCATGGCTCAAGTGGTAGTATGTGAGGCCCTGAGTTTAATCTCCACTGCTATCAAAAGTAAAATAAAGGACTGGGGGTGTGCTTCAAGTGGTAGAGCACCGGCTTTGCAAGTGCAAAGCCCTAAGTTCAAACCCAAGTCCCACCAAAAAAAAAAAAAATCCTGGACACTTTGTTGGGTGCTGGTGGCTCACACCTGTAGTCCAGCTACGGGACTAGATCAGGAGGACTGAGGTTCGAGGCCAGCCTGGGCAAATAATTCTTGAGACCCTATCTTGAAACTACCCAATGCAAAAAAGGGC